CACACACACACACACACACACAAAATCCCATTTAAAAATAGGCAGAGGACCTGATTATACTTCTCCAGAGAAGACACAGAGATGGCCAAAAGATACATGAAAGGATGCTCAATGTCACTAATCATCAGAGAAATACAAATTAAAACCAAAATAAGATACCACCTCACACCTGTCAGAAGGGCTACCATCAATAAATCAACAAATAATAAGCGCTGTCAAGGATGTGGACCCTAGTGCACCACTGGTGGGAATGCGGAGTGGAGGGGCCGCTGCGGAAAACAGACAGGGGCGTCCAACCTGTGACCCAGGGGTCACAGGCAGCCCAGGATGGCTGTGAATGCAGCACACACAAAATTGTAAATTAACTTAAAACGCTGTGAGATTTTGTGTGTGTGTGTGTGATTACATGTTGCAGTGTATTTAATGTGTGGCTTAAGGCAACTCTTCTTCCTCCAGTGTGGTACACAGATACCAAAAGACTGGCCACCCCTGGAACAGAAGGTCCTCAGAAAATTAAAAATGGAAGTGCCATATGACTCAGTGATTCCACTTCCAGGTATATAGGCAAAGGAACCCAAACACATTCAAAAGACTATATGCGCCCTTATGTTCACTGCAGCATTATTTACAATAGCCAAGATAGGGAAGCAACTCTAGTTTCCATCAGCAGACAAGTGAATAAAGAAACTGTGGTACAGACATACAACAGAATATTAATTGGCCATAAAACAGAATGAAATCTTACTATTTGTGACAGCATGGATGAACCTAGAAGGTAATAATGTTAACCGAAACAAGTCATAGAAAGACAAAGACCATATGATTTCACTTATATGTGAAATCTAAAGTACAAAAGAAACAAAATTGGAACGGACTCAAAGATGCAGAGAGCAGACTGAATGTCGCCGGGGGATAAGGACTGAGAGTCTGAGTGACAAGGTGAAGGAATTAGGAAGTACAAATTGGTGACCACAAAACAGTCACAGGATGTGAAGTATAGGATAAGAAATACAGTCAATAATATTGTAATAACTATTACAATGCCAGGTGGCTACTTGAAATATTGGGGGGAGACACGTTATAAAGTATATGAATATCTAATCGCTATACTGTTGTACACTTGAAACTAATACAAAATAATACTGAAAGTAAACTATAATTTTAATTTAAAAGAAAGAAAAATCTCAAAACACCTAATCCTATACCACAAAGAACTAAAAAGAAAAGGAACCCCAAAGTTAGTTGAAATTACAAACATCAGAGCAGAAATAAATGAAACGGAGATTTAAAAGACCATAAAAAAAATATGAAACAAAAATTTGTTTTATAAAAAAGATAAACAAAATTGACAAGTCTTTAGCTAGACTCAGAGAGAGATCCTGAAAAAGACAGAGAAGTGAGAGGGAACTCAAATAAACAAAATAAGAAAGAGTTACAAGTGATATAACAGAAATACAATGGATCATAAAATAGTACCATGAAAGAATATATACAACCAAATTGAACAACCTAGAAGATATAAATTCTTAGAATCATACAACCTTCCTAGATTAAAACATAAACAGAAAATATGAGTAGACAGATCACTAGTAAGGAAGTTGAAATAGTAATAAAAAACCAACGAGTATACAAAAGTCCAGCACCAGATAGCCTCACAGGTGAATTCTGCCAAACATTTAAAGATTATATATCCTTCTCAAACTCTTCTAAGAAATTAAAGCGGAAGAAATGCTTCCTAATTCACTTTACAAGGCCAACATTATCCTGATAGCCAAACCAGGCAAAGACAACACATACAAATAAAAAAACTACAGGCCTATATCTCTGATGAACATGGATGCAAAAATTCTCCAAAAAAAAAACAAAAAAAATTAACAAATCAAATACGACAGTGCATTAAAAGAATCATATGTCACGATCAAATGGGATTTATTCCAGGGATGTAAGGATGATTCAACATCCACAAATCAATCAATGTGATACAATGCATTAACAAAATGAAGGATAAAAATTATATGATCGTCTCTATAGATGCAGAAAAAGCATGTGACAAGATATAATATCCACTTATGATTTAAAAACTCTCAGTAAAATAGATGTAAGGAAACTACCTCAACACAATGATGGCCAAAGATGACAAACTCACAACAAACATTATGCTCAATGGTTACAAAATAAAAACTTTTCTTCAAAGATCAAAAATAAGACAAAGATTCATTCTCTTCCCATTTTTATTCAACATACTACTGAAAGTCCTAGTCAGAGCCATTAAGCAAAATAAGTAAATAAATAAATAAGAAATAAAAAGCACCTAAATTGGAAAGAAATATGTAAAACTGTCATATTTGCAGATTAGATGACATGATTTTATATGTAGAAAACCCTAATGACCCTACCAAAACACTATTAGATATAGTACATGAAGCCTGTAAAGTTGCAGGAAACAAAATCAATATACAAATAGCTGTTGTGTTTCCATATCCAAAAAACTAGCGGAAACAGAAACCAAGTAAACAATCCCATTTACAATCACAACAAAAAGAAAAAAAATACCTAGAAATAAATGTAACAAAGGAGATAAAACTGGTAGAGTGAAAACTACAAGACTTCTGAAAGAAATTGAAGACAAAATAACTGGAAAGATAATCTATGCACATAAATTGGAAGAATTAATGTTGTTAACATGTTCATGTTGCCTAAAGCAACCTAGAGATTTAATGCAATCCCCATCAAAGCCCCAAAATCAGTTTTCACAGAAATAGAACAAAAGTCCTAAAATTTCTATGGGAACTACAAAAGACCATGAATAACCAAAGAAATCCTAGAAGGGTCAGGGGAGAACAAAGCTGGAAGTATTACACTCCCTAATTTCAAACTATACTACAAAACAATAGTAATCAAACAGTGTGGTATTAGCAAAAACAGACAGAAACGAACAGCACAGTAAATCCGCACATATATGAATACCTAATTTACAACAAAGAAGCCAAAAACATACAACAGAAAAAGAATGTTGTTGGGCAACTGACAGCTACATGCAAAAGGATGAAACTAGACCACTTTCTTACGCCATAAATGGAAAAAACTGAATGCAAGACCTGACGCTATAAAACGCCTAGAAGAAAACAGGTAGTGAGCTCCCTGAGCCACTCTTGGCAATGATTTTTTAAATTTAACACCAAAAGCAAAAGTAAACATGTGGGACTACATCAAACTAAATACCTTCTACACAGCAAAGGAAAACAGTAACAAAATTAAAAGGCAAACTATCTAATGGAAGAAAGTAGCTGTAAATCATGTATCTAATAATAGGAGGTTAATGTCTAAATTATATTTAAAAACAGATACAACTCAACAGTATAAAAATACAATGAAAAAATTGAGAAAGGATAAGCACAAATATTTGCCCAAAGAAGACACACAGATGGCCAACAGGTACACAAAAAGGTGCTCAACATTACTAATCATCAGGAAAATGCAAGTCAAAACTATAATGAGGTTATCACCTTACACCCATCAGAATGACTATATCAAAAAGGCAAGAAATAACAAGTGTTGCCACAGCCGTAACGAAAAGAGAACCCTTGCCCATTGTTGGTGAGAATTGGCATAGTCACTATGAAAACAGTATGGAAGTTCCTCAAAAAAACTTAAAAAGGAACAACTATAAAAGATCCAGCAATTCCACTTACAGATATTTATCTGAAGAAACTAACTCAAAAAGATATATTCCTGTGTTCATTATGCAGCGTTATGTACAAGAGCCAAGGCATGGAAACAAATGTCCATCAACAATGAATGGATAAAGAAAATGTGAATATATATATTTTTTCAGCCATAAAAAAGAATGAAATTTTGACATCTGTGACAACATGGATAGATCTTGAGGGCATTGTCCTAAGTGAAATAAGTCAGGCATAGAGAGACAAATACCATTTGGCATCACACACATGTGAAATCTTTAAAAACAAAAAACAAAAAACTGAGCTCATAGGTACAAAGAACAGACTGGTGCTTCCCAGGGGCAAGGAGTAGGTGGCAGACAAAATGGGAGAAAGGGGACAAAAGGTACAAACATTCAGTTATAAAATAAATAATTCCTGGTGATGCGATGTACTGCCGAGTGACTACAGTTTTGAAAATGTATTTTATTTCTGAAATTTGCTAAAAGGGTTGATCTTAGAAGTTCTCATCACAAAAAAGAAAATTTTCTATGTGTGATGATAGATATTAAGTAGACTTACTGAGGTGATCATTTTCCAATATATACAGACATCATATGATCTTGAACACTTGAATCTAATATAATCTTGTATCGTATATCTCATTACATCTCTAGAAAACACAAAGTATGTAGGGGTAGAACCAACAAATGTGTGAAAGATGTGTATGCTGAAAACTACAAAAACTTGCTTAAGGATCACAATAAATAAAGACAGTGGTGTTTACTCTGAAGACCTTATAATGTAGTTAAAAGTGAAATTAATATAAAAGAAACTCAAAAACCATTAAATACTTTTAGTATGCTTTTCAAGTTAGGGTAGTGGTATAATTTCTCAACTTGCACCTATTTCCATTTTGAAGGCCTAGACAAATGTTTCAGCAACAGAAGGTACAACTCTTGTAATATCCAGAACAGTCCCCTCTCTTTATTCTACGTAACAGAAACATAAATTAAATGATCATTTTTGCACCTACTTTGCCCCCCGGAGTAATTTATAACATACATGTCTATCTCCACAAACTGCCTCATAAACTGGAGATGAGTAAAAGTTCCAAAAGGAGCACAAATTTTAAAACCTTCTATGCAAAAATTTTAATACATTGCCTTCAAGCACAAACCATTTTTTAAAAAGTGCTCAACACAGGTTGCATTATGCGCTCGTAACTTCTTGTTAAGAATTCACTGAAGTTCTTGAACCTCTGAACATAAGTTACAGCTGGCGACTTATTTCAGCAAGTATTAAATTACAAATTCTACCGGGTTATGGAAGGGGGGTGGAAAACTCACCTGGAGTGAGACACTGAAAGCTTATTTTACCACTTTCAAGATTTCTCCCCATATCACACGAGCAGCTCGATAGGGGATGGAGGAAAGGGTGGTTACATTTTTAATGTAAACAGACACACGGTTAACCCTAACCCTATCTGTAACCTACATCTTAGTGTCATCAGTTTCACGAAACGTGTTGCTTTCTTCCTAATCACGTGCCCAATCATCCTCACTGGTAATAGCAGAAGGTCAAGTGTCCAGAGGAGGGATTCAAGCCTGAGAGGATGTCCAAATGAAGAGGTGCAGGCAGCCCAAGGCCTGCCGGGGAGACAGCATTACAAAAACGGCCTGCTCTGACTGCATGCACTCCCCTAGCCCAGACGCATCAGCTGCCCCACGCGAAACCGTCTTCAATGCAGCATTCCCTATACGCGCCTAGAACTGGCAGTGCCTGGTAAGGTCTGTAAATGACCATGCTTGCACTTAGTAGACAATGTTCACACTTGACTTTCTCAAATTCAAAATGTACTCATGGAAGTAAAGAAGATTATTTCAAAGATAAATTCTAAAGTAATTTTTAAGAAATCAGCAATCTTAATTTAAAACAGATTTACTTTCATTATTTTTTATTTTTTATTTTAATTACTTCGCATTTATTTCTATATCCTATTTAAGGTTTTGCACTGACTTTCAATGTAAAATTAAACCAGTTTCCATAAAATAAAATGTTCAGCCTCAACAAACGTATAACTAGGATAATTTTTTAAATGCAGTAAATATTTTAAACATTTTAATTTAATTCATAAAAATCAACATGAATCTAGTGACACTAAAATATCACACTATTCCCCACAAAACAGTTCAATGCAAAATAGATGTTGCCTGATAGTTGGCTTTCAGTTTGTGTATTTACCTCTATTCTCAGGCAAATATTTTCTTTTAAAACTAATGTTTTGTTCCTTGTAAAGACATCCAATCCATTGTTACTGCATATTCATCATTTATGACTGTTCATAAGTAATTAAGCATACTATCTAAAATTATACGATAAGAATCATATTCAAAATATTCTTCATTGTTAAAATATTATTTTTATACTATTTTTAAGTAGTTTGCTGTACTGAATGATTTGTAGATAAAAAAAACACAACTTCCACTTCCTGAGTTGATAAGATTATCAATTTAGCAGATATTAAACCTTAAGATAAGAGTAAATGCTCATCATCATAATGAATTTCTATAAAATGGATCGACTGTACCACACATATGTTTGTAGACTATTTTGTCCAGCTGCTCAATTGGGGGTAATGTCACTGGAAAAAAAACAGACTCTAAATTCATATCTGTATCAAATCAATACTGGTTTGTTTGTTTTTTCAAACTGTATGAAAACTGATCATCTAGATATAGGAAAAAGAATACAATGTTTAACTTTAGCAGGGTTGCTAAAGTACTACAACTAACAAATGCCCTATAAATACTCTTATTTTTTGGCAATGGCCCACAAGTTTAACTTCTAGAGAATTCAGCCCAATATAATAAACTCATAAAAATTAAACTGTATAATTTTTCCACTTTTGAGACAAAAATAAAGGTAATATAGTACCTATTTATATCATCTGGAAAATGTCTATATATTAAAATTGCAACAGTCTATAGGATACATACCATTTAGAAAACACAATTGGTCAAACATTTTCTTTTCGGATATAAACATACAAAGATGAAAATCAACATTTGTAGCAAGAATGCATTTTACTAGCAAATGCCACCCATGTAAATATGATTGTCTAACCAATAAAGTGTACCCCTGATTTACATCATCATTATAATTTAGTGATCTGTAAATTACATCCTGAGTTGTAATCCCCCATCCACCACCAGAACGTGCCCTGTAATATATGGTGATTCTAAAAGAAACAGAACCGCGTGTGCCACATCAATAGGTTCTCCAAATCTCCCAAGAGGAATACTTTTCTTGAAATGTTCTTCTTTCATGCCTTTCGTCATATCTGTACGAACAAATCCTAAAAGAGAAATGTTAATTTAGTAGAAAAGGGTATACACTAAAACATTTGCTCAATTTCAAATCAAGATATTGGTTCCAGAAAAGTTGAAATTCCTAGTGAAACTTGTTTACGAAATAGAGTTTTGCTAGCCATCAAGTAAACAGGTGTGTACATTTTTATTCCATTTAACTCAATGAACATTTATTTAACATTGAAATATGAGATTCCTAAATATTAGGCCCAACGCACAGCACAATGGAAGTGGGTACATACAAACACAAGTAAGAATTATATTCCTTGGAGAACTTATACTTTATGGAGGATATAGTCACTTGCACCCTTACTAATAACATAAGAAAGTCCCGTGAATATCCTTCTAGAGGTATACTCACAAAGTACAACTGAATCGATTAATCTTCCCTTGAGTGAGGCAGAGATGGGTAAGGACGTATAGAGGGAAGAGAGGCATCACAAAGGGGCCATGTGAACTGATCTGGCACTATGACCAAATTTAGTTCCATTTGCTACGACTAGGAAAGCTGATTAGAGAGACCAGTATTTCCAATATTCATACACAAAACAAACCATAGGGTCATTTGTAATTCTGTTACAAGCAAACAAAGAAAATTAAAACTTTAACATGACATTGGTATATGCAATAAATCCTGCAGAGAACATGTTCTGAAGTTTAATATCCTTGGACACATTTATTTTCAATGATGCCTCAGAGAATGTATTAGAAAGAAAAATTCACCTCACATGTTAAGACAGCCGAATGAATGAGAATTATGAACATAACATTTAAAAGCTGGTTTCTTCTCAGAAAGTTCATGAAACAACTATAGTTTATCCTAAGGATATTTTCCCATTTACTCTCAAACTCTAAGCAAAAAAATAAATAAGTAATGTATTTTAAACTTAAGGGAAAAAATCTCAATAAACTACATTAAAATGGCTAACTGAGAGACATTGCAACTGTGATTAACAAATTTTACTCTCAACTTCCAGTTGGCTCTGGTGACTTCTTCTCAAGGACAGCATTTTGTAGTAAAAATAACAACAATAACTAGCCTAGAAGACATTCTACTAGATTCTAGTCTCTACTCTGCTAATACTATCAAAGTAAGTTACAACAAGAAGTCATGTACTGTCTAAAACTATGTAACTTTCTATATCGTGAAACAAGAGAAGTAGACTGAAAATGATAGATCACTGAGATTTCTTTTAGCTCTAAAAAACTATGAGAATAAAATTTAAAAATATGCCTCATTAAGAAGTCTTCATGACTTCCTTACTTAAAGTTTAGGAAGGAGAGCTCCCCTTAAAAGGACCCTCGGTTCTTACACTGGCAGTTGTGTGGAGCTTAGAATGTTCCAATTGAAGATGTTAGCCTGGCTATCCCTGTCGTGCTAAAAGAAACTGATTTGCCCTGTTCTGGGGAGACTGCAGCTCTGACATGTTTGCCCTTCCGGAGAACAAGGATAAGGCCACACGACCTGTGACAGGCCATCTGAAGGTCTTTACACCTTGAAATAGAGGCTGTTCTAGAAAAGGGCATCAACCACTGAAAGGCAAACCTTACCTAGGAAGGGAGATTAGGCAGGGAGACAAGTTCAAGGACAATCTCTGTGAGATGGAAAGGCCTCTGTGACATACATATGGGCTGTGAGGACAGACTGTGGTCCACCAAAAACAACCAAGTACACCAGATATAGGGAACAAATAAAGGCTACTATCTCAAAGCTGTTAATAAGATCTTGCTCAGCAGTCAGTCCAGCCTGGATTCAGCTTGACTATGGTGCCCAGGTCAGATTAAATTTGTAAATGAAGGCGAGAGGTGCACTCTAACCCCAGCAATGCTTACAAGAAGTCCAAAACTAGGATCACGATGTTCAAGCGCCTCCCTCATGTGAAGATTCTCCCTCCGCTGCTCAAGCTTGGAAGATAAAGGTGTTACTGCATGAGGAGCAGTTTGCCAGACTCTACCCAAACCTGTGTCTGGAATGATAAACCTTATGGGACCACAGCTAATAACCATCATTGACCTCTATACTAAGAGCCTAAAACCAAGGAGCCATCAGAGGCCAAGTTGAAAGGACCCAAAAACACTGGATTTATCCTCTGGAGGGTGGGTCCCATGTAGTACAGACTTTCCCCCGCAGGGGAGTGTCCTATGAACCCATGTGTATCAGTGTACCAGCTGGCATGTTGCGAGAGGCTGCAAGAGGCTCCCGTGAATTTTCTTTTCAAGACTCAACACGCTTGCCATTTCAGGACTGGTGATTCAGAAGCACACCTGCCCACACTGCACTGAGTGTTCAGCAGTTCTGGGGCGAAAACAGCATGACCGCCAAGCCCGGCCGTTCCTGTCTACCCAAACTCATCCCGAGGGACTATTTTCTTTTTTTCTTTTTTCTTTTCGTTTCCCCAGATGAAAAGTCTTCAAAGGAAAATGTTTTGCTGATGTGGAAGAGGTGGGAAAAAAAATGACAAAAGCTTGTACTAAAGGCATCAAAATCAACGAGTTCAAAACCTGTTTTGAGCAATGGAAAACAGCGCCTCAACAGGTGCATGGTATCTAATAGGGAGCACTCTAAAGGAGACTCAAGTCCAAACATGTAAGAATAAATACACAATATTTTAAAAATAAATTCTGGAGTTCAGGGGGTCCCCCCTCGTATATTCACAGGACCCTGCATATAAATAGTCTTCAGGATTCTATGTAAAACCTGAGCAGAGATATTAGCAGCTCTTAAATGCGCCACACGCCCATTTTTGTGTTTGTCCTGCTTCCCAGTGTGCGTTCCCTCTCCTTAGCCCCTCCCTCTCCTCCACGTCATTCTTTCATTTGTAATACTCCAGAAACTGGCTCTTCCTATTTTACTGCATACATATGTACAATGCCTCTCAAGCTGGGCTATAAAAATGACAAATTGCCAGCAGCTGCCACCATCTAACAAATGATGTCATTACTGGTCACTTGTTGCACAGTTAGAGGTTTCCAGCTGGCTCCAAAGCTATCACTGCTTAATCCAATAAACATATAACTGAAATGATATGCACTCAACCAACTTAGAACCAGGATACTTCTACTTTAATTTGGTCTATGATGGCACACACATTACTACTATTTATAGAATATAAATTCTTTAGGAACAGAAATACTCTGGTATCCATTTCTGGCTAGCTTTACAGTAAAAATAAATAGCATCCCATTTCTATATTACCTGGTCACTTTGTTGGTGTTGCACACTTTTGGAGAGAGCAGAGACTTTACGTTTAAATAAGATGCCTATCACCAGCATTCACAATTGTGGGACGTGCACGACTTCCTATACCCACCGGCTCGGGTGTCCCTTCTCTGGCACAAGTCTCTAGGACCCAGAAAGAATTAAAATAACCACAGACACTTCTTTTCAGGCAGAAGAGACAAGGCAGTTGACAAGAACTAGACCAAGGTTTTAACCAGAACGATCCCTATGTCTTACTATTGTATTTGTAAATATGTATAAGGAACCAGTGTGCAAAAATCAACTCCATACCAAAGGGCCCGTAACAGCACCTGGAAGAATACCCGTTTTGAGTAGCTGCTAAGTGGATGCAAGCATTTGTCAACAAGATTTTCTCCAAGTGGTAAACATTAAAGCCCCTCAATTTATGACAGGAGGGGAGGGGTCAAAACACTTAAGCTACCCTACAGAAATAAATGCAAGGCTGTATTACTTGTCAAAATTTAAATGCACATACCCTTCGGTCTTGGCAGCTTCCTTCCCAGGATCACACTCATACGCTCGCACATGTGCAAGATAAATAGTGTAGAAGTATTGTGACTGCATTCTTCGTTGTAATGGCAAAAGATCAGACACAACCTAAATGCCCATCCAGGGGCAACAGGTTAAGTAAATTATGGTACACCAGTCAAACGGAAATCATCGTCTTTTAACTAGCCATTAAAAGTGACGCAGACATCACAAAGACCACATGTTAACATGACTTCATTTACAAGAACTATCCAGAATAGGGAAATCACTGGAGACAGAAAGCAGAGCAGTGGCTGCCAGAAGTGGGGGACATTAGAGGGAAATGGGGATGAATACTAATGGCTACCGGGTCTCTTCTGGGATGAAAAAAATGTTCCAAAATATATAGATCGTGATCACAGAACAATTGCGTGACTATACTAATACCACTGAAGTGTACACTTTAAATGGGTGGATTGTACATTATGTGAATTATACTTCCATAAATCTGTCATTCAATAAAGTGAAGAAGCTCTACATGGAATAATATGGAATCAACTACAAGATATATTGGCCTGTGAATAAAGCGAGGTACCAATGATTGTGAATAAAATGGCACAATGTGTGCTTTCTTAAAACACACACATTTGATTGGCTTGTAAACAAAATAAGAAGAAGCTCGTTAACAGTGTGTTGCTTTTGAGAAAAGGATTTGAATGAAGAGAAAAGATCCACTTTGCCCTCTATGCCTTTTGGTACTTTTGAATTTAATACCATGTTTGCATTATCTATTGAAAACATATTTTTAAAGCAATGTACCCATTAAAGCTCCAATTTATCAAATATTGTTTGTCATATTCAATATTTTCAAATCAGTAGGATTTATCAAAGAAAAATAACAAATTTTTTATTTAAAGTAATATTGAGGCTTAGCAACTAAATGATGTTTTGAAAAAAATCAATAACATATTGCCCTGGCCAGGTGGCTCACTTAGTTGGAACCTAGTTCTCGGCACAAAAAGGTTGCAGATTTGATCCCAGGTCAGGGCACATACCTAGGATACGTATGGGTTCTGCCACCCAGTCAAGGCACCTATAAGAGGCAATCAATCAACAGATCTCTCTCACATCGATGTCTCTCTTTCCCCCTTCCTCTCTCTCTAAAAAAAGTAAAATAAAATAAAAACATATCCTTGGCTAAGGCTAAAAGAAAAAAAAAATCAGTAACATCAGCTGGTGAATCACAGCCTAATTTATGATTTTCATTGTTCCCAGGTTTTCATTTTATGATTTGCTTTTTAACTATGTTCCTTAGTTGGAAACTCCATTTGAAGGTAACCAGGAAAACAATATAAAAAGAAACACATTTGTTAATTCTGATATTTGTCAGGTCTATTCAATATCTGGTGAAGAATCTGATTATAATTACCATGGGAATTAAAGTTAATAAACGATCCATAGAATCAATTTAATTCTACTATTTAAACTTGCATTTTGCTTCTGACCAACGAAGCACATTCATACTAAATACACATAGCCAATGAAATGTAATATAGGTCACCTTATTAAATGGCCACATTTTTAGCAACAGGTTTTTTTCTGTAATATAAACTGCACTGGAAAGATCTTTAGGAAAGGCTATACGTACAAACACACTTCCATAACACTCAAAGAGCTTCCCCTTCTATACAAACCGGATTCCCACTATTGGCCCTGTTGTCTTGACAACTAATTCACTCTCACAAAATTAAGCACAATTTCTTCAGCGTTTCCACAGCATCATGCATGTACCTTTATATTCATCACACGCTGCTCTAATTATTTGTTTATATGTCTGTCTCTCCCACTGTACTTAGCTCCTTGCGGCAGAAGTAGCTTGCTCATTTCTGTAATTTTGGACCCTAACACATACATAATACATACCAGTAAGTCTGCTGAATGATTTATTACAAGTTAGAAACACTTTTATTCCCTTTAAACCATCAAGCTTTTTAATCACCAGGAATTAGAATTAACTCTTCATTACCCACACCATTGCAACCCCAGAAGAAAAGAAGGGAATACACACAATCCCAAACCACATATAACCTATTCTCCACACAGATCAACTAGGCCAACACGAAAATCAATCAGGGTGAATACAGCATACACAAACAGAAAGCAGTGCCAAATGCACTTTTAGAGTATCTTTTTTTTTTTTTTTTTGAAAACGGAGGTACTGTATCTAAACCAGAGTTTATCACGTGCTCCTGGATTTGGAATGCTAAAATTTAGCCAGCCCCCGTGAGTAAGCCATGAACTGGGATGAAGGCACAGTACACGGCAAAAGGGCTAGCAGAGCCTGCTGTCCGTTCCCTGACCCCTGTGGTTCGACGTCAGCGCCAACTACAATGCCAGCTCCAGCTAGCACCCAAGATGGAAACATCAGCAACTTCAGATAAAACGGTTTCAGCGGTCTTCTTCTGCTAACTCTTTCTTACAAACAACCGATAAACTAAACAAAACGTCTTTTCTTAATACTGGTAATCAACTCTTAAATATCTATAGTATCCCAAATCAGAAATCCCATGGCTAACTGGCAGAAGGATATGAAAACACTCATTTTACTCAAAGTCAAGAAAATACCTAAGCAAACTTTCTATCACACCATCTAATGAGTGGTCATGTAGATTGAAGGTTCAGCACCTTTCATTACCCTCTTAACTGTCCCGAGCAATTTCATCAACAAGTAACTTGGCAAAAGGCAGATGATAGAAAGGGAAAAGTTACAAAGTTGGGTAATTCCAGATAGTTTAGACAGACGACATAAGCAAAAGGACAAAAACGACCTAAAAGCTTCTAATGATGCAGGAAACCTAAGGGGCCACTCCGTTAAGCTCTCCTTAGCTGGGAAATCGAAAGACAGAGCTTCTAGCAACAGTCCTGACGCAAACCTTCAGTGCTCACTGTCGCCTACGCCCCAGCCTCCCCAACGGTAAAAACGAGAGACTAAGTGGTCGCTAGGTCCTTTCCATCTCACGTTTTTCAGGAAGTAAAATTTAAAAACGAAAATTTTAAAGAAAATGTAAGGTAGAATAAATCATTTTGTAGTTACCACTTCAATATTTGGCTCCTTTCACCATCATTTTAGATCTATTCTAAGCTGGAATCTATCTCGAGTACCCATTGACCAATAAATGGCTCCCTTCTCTATAAATCAAAACTATTTTTTGAAGGGTTTCTTGAGCCTTTGCATCCTAAACTGTGACTCTATTATATTTTAATATATTCCAATTAACAATCACTAGCAGACCAAGTTAATTGGCTTTATGTCCCATTGAATCCATCAATATTTTCAAGTAATGTGGAATACCCAAAGTCAGCATAATAAAAGGAACAGGTGCACGATAATATTCTCTTGCCTTCTTAAAGGGGCTCTGATTTCCGTGTATTTAGCTCAAATCACACTTGCTTTGTCTTACAAGTGGATTGCGTCTGTTGGCTTGGTTTTCCCCACATGTTTAACCAGAACACAACGTGTTCCTGATAGAGTCCCTCCAGCAAGGCAGCTCTATCGTAACTTTTTCACTGTGACTTCTACTCTTCTGAAAATTCATTAAACAGCCACTTCAACAGCCACCTCTCTGACACCTTCACTGCTGGCCTCACCCAAACAGGTCTGATCTTAGAAGCCTCGGCCCCTCTGAGCAAGGCCTCTGCACGTAACAGAGGCCAGTAGCAGAGCCGTACTGGCGACAGAGTTCAAGTGCCCCGTTTCTCTTAGGACGCGCTGCCGCTTTCCTCCCCCCATAATGTTACTCAATCAGCTTCCGCTTGCTCATTAAACAAGCAAATAATGCTGAAATCACTATGAAAATCTTAGTACTTCATAGGGTGACTTTTAAAAAGATGTTCCTTCCTCCTGAGTCTGTGTAAATATCTTTTTTCTTTCAAATTTTTCATTGTGTTAAATTTCTAACATGAATCCTGGATAGCTCTCTGGGGTACAATGAAGTGCAGGAAAAGGTTTCTGGTCTATTTTGAAAAGAAGCATTCTATGACCCCTAGCAACTCTTTTTTTATGCAAATAAAGGCTTTCTGAAGTAATGAATACATCAGCTAGTGTACATGGCTGCTTTGTAAAATGTGCCAATGATATCGCCTATGCAGCCTTGTTTATTTCCTCTGGATTATACTGTTATTAAAAACACATTGTATTATAGAGCTGTTCAGATATTTTAAATATAAAGATGTATTGTCTCCACGATATCGACATCTGGAATATATTTGGGGAGTAAAAACATTACTTGGAAAGTTCTGCTTTGACAAACTGACAAAGCCTAAATTAACTATCAACTGTTGTGAGCAATATCAATGGAACATCCCAAGAAAGAAAGAAAAAAAAAAAAAGACACTTAAATGGAAAGGTTCTCCAAACGTATACCATTTGGATTTGCTCAACTTACTGGATATACGTTAAAATATTCCCTTACCCTCCAACACGAACCCTTGGAATTCTTACACGCTTAATTTATACCTGATTTTGGAATGAGAAGTTCCCCTTGTGATTTTAGTTTGCGTGTACCCATTCAGCAGAAAAAGCAATGTGGTCTGTGCAAACAAAACAGCCTATAATACTCTTGGCCTCCTCTGAGGATAGCGCACGGCCTGGCAACGAGGCCAGGTAAGTCCTATCAGACCGTGGTCAGGCCCTAACGATGCAGATGGACGTGCAGACACAAGGACAATCTCCGCAACCCGTGCACGTAGACGCAAATATACATGCATTATGTTTAAAAAGAAAGAAGTTTTTCACTGACCTGGTGCAACTACATTCACTCGAATTTTCTTTCTCGCTACTTCTTTGGCGAGAGCGCAGGAAAATCCAACCAACCCTCCTTTACTGGCACTGTACGCACACTGGCCAATGTTGCCTTTCAAACCGATCACACTTCCTAGAAAAAAACATCGAAAGCAAATGCAAGCCTATTTAATGAGGTTATCTGAGTATGAGGGTGACTTATACTAAACAGTCAAAAGGAGGTACAAATCATTTTATCTTGGCCTTTGATAAAAGTAGGAATTCTAACCATTGTCACTTGAGTGGCAAGAGTCTGAATCTGCTCCACATACAGAGAAAACAAATCTTAAAGGCACTTAGTTGAAACCTCTAATGCAAACCTCGGTTTGAGAACAGATCTACCGAGAGAAAGACACTCACTCTCACCTTTGAGTATGCCAGGCATGATGAAGTCTACAGTATTTATAAAGGCTTCCAGTAGGGACAGGTTAAAACCAGAAAAAGTCAGATAACGGCTCATTAGTTTTTATTAGACGTAAGGAAGCATTCATTTCCACCTTTAAAAAGTTCATCCGAAGGCAAATCTCACTAAATTTGAATTACTCTCGATCTAAGAAAAGCTTCAATTCCAAACTGTATTATAACTTGAGTTGTCTACTAAATATTATAACTTGAATTGCCTAGTAAAGATTCTTGGGTGTCCTCATTTATATGAATATGAAGAATAAGCTATCATTCAAATATTTAACTGTATGCAAATAAATTCAAAAAACATAGTGGGAAGTAATTTTCTGCATCAGTGACCTGTATTTATGACATAAAAGCTAATCAAAAACCTCACAAAATTTTTGAAATAGTAATTTCACTTCATAAAACTTTCCAAACACCCTTTTTATTTTATAATCAACAAGTCCAATAGCAGAATATGTATCTACCTTATATGTTAATGACAAAGGATGACAAAGCTCAAGCACAAAAGAGAGAAAAGACGTATCACACAGAGGAAATGCAGATAGACGGAGAAAGGGCTATTTGGAAGAAAGACGGTCACAGAGAGGCACAGCAAGGACAGAAAGATACAGGCATGGAGAAGAAGCCAAACAGGAAGCTTCAGAAGCATTGGTCATGCCGCACACTCTTGTTCCTCTGGTCAAAAGTGGTAACTTCTGAAACAGCATACATTTCTTTAGCAGTTTAAAGTACTCCTTTCGGTCATAAGATTCTCTTAATTTATTTTTAAGTATCTATGTTTCTTTACTTTTCGCTCAATTCTAAAGTATTGCATGTATACAAAGGAATGAGGAGGGGTTTTTTTAATACATCTGTTTAAAAGGAGATATTTAAAGGGAGACATTGTAGAGTTAAACAAATACACCTCTCGGCTGTTGCATGACAAATACAGCCCATGTACACACCAGCAGCGCACAAGAACCCTCAATCCTTATCTGGCCGTGTTCGAAAGCAAAGGTTGACTCGTTACTCGTCTTTTATAAGGTAACTCATCTCTTACATATTCAAAGGTAAAATCAAAATGTTCTAAAGCTTATTAGCACAGTATTCTTTTCCCTTCTTATTTTCAAAACAAAAACCTTACAGCTGGCTTGGAGAGCCATGCCCTCTCTTAAAAGAAATAGGGTCATTTACTTCGAGGAAGAAGTATCCCCCTTCTGTGGCTTTTTAAGATACTACCACTTACAATTAAAAGGCAGATGGTATGCCGCTCCTTTCAAATTACCACACTGAAATAAAATTTCAAGTCATTGGACATTTTAAGGGCACACACTACCCAGTTTATCTGCCCCATGGGTCCATGTTAAGAAACTGAAAGACTTACTCTCTTAAGAGAGCTTCCTCTTAAACCGTTGCACAAGATTAATCAGTGACTCAGGCAGCTGCTCTAGATGTCCTTTTTAGCCCCCGATATCTAGAATTTTCCAATCCCTTCTCCGTATTTTAAAAACTAGGTTTCACATAAAAAACAAGAATGTCCAATTTTTCTTTAAAAAATAACCAAAAGAGCTGGCAAAACTGGGACCACATGTGTGCACAGCAACGTTCTACTGGCTCTGAGCGGTGGTTGCTCCTGCCCTTCCCAGTGGCCTCCGGACACCAAAGCTGGCCATCTTCTGTCGTTGATCACATGGCGTGTGCTGTCCGTTTTCTAATACCTGGTGGTGTCGACACATTGAACACCATTGAACTTGACCACTAACGCATTTGAAGTGTGATTCCTGCTTTACTCGCTAGTCAGTTAATCCTTTCCCATTGATAATAAAATGACACATTTCATCCAAGTTTCACACGTGTACAAATTCCAATTTAGTCAGTTAAATGTTTTATGGTACTAAAAGGTCACTGTAAATTCATAAAGGTGAAGACTCACCTACATTAACAATAGATCCTCTCTGTTGTCGAATCATGGTTCTCATGGCAGCTTTACAGGTCAGCATGGAACCCAAAAGGTTAGTATGAAGCTGAGATATCATGTCTTCAGTTGTAGTTCTTACTAAGAGGTTATCCCTTTAAAAAAAAAAAAGTGTAAATTAAAAACAATGTAAAACAATATACATTCAAATATGTAAATTTTTACTGAAAACAGAATATAACAAGTGCTTCATCTCTGAGCTAGAATACCAAGAAAATCCTATTTTAAACTTGGTTTCTGAGGTACTAAAATAACAACTGATAAGCCAGAAATAATTGATTTGGAAGCCACCTTCTTATCCCCTATAAGATAGTGGCAAATACTCCTAACTGTAAAAAGTGGTGCCATGTGGCCAAATTGATTGAATTGGTTTGAATTAATTGAGCAACTGTCCCCTATGCCTTGTTTAGCAAGAAAAGTAATATTATTGTAAATATTCTGTCCCAAATTCATCATAAAAAAAGAATACCCTCTCTGATTCCATTAATGTTAATACAATGATCGGAGTCACAACAGTAGTTATCTACAAGGAACTATTAATTGGCAAGAAGGCTGAGAGAGCCTTCTGAAGTCCTGGAAAAGTTCTGCAGCTCAACATGGATGTTGCTTACAATGTCCAAGTTGATCAAGTTGTACCCTTATTGTATAAAAGAATGTATGGAGGGACAAATCAAAATAAAATGCACAGTTTTTATTCCAATTAGAAACCAAGTTAGTTAACATATTAATTCATCCTAATCAAAGACACAGAGAGAAAATGACACATTAGAAATGTACTTAAATTTGTGACCAACCTGTTAATTCCAGCTGCATTCACCAAGAAATTAACGGGACCTAAGTTTTTCTCTATCTCTTCAAATGCATTTTGAACATCATGTTCTTTGGCAACATCACAGCTAACTGCCAAATGACCACCTACACAACAAAGATTAGAATTACTTATAACTTGTAACCTGAACTTAAAAATTATTCACCACACATGTATTAAGTATCTGCTATGAGGTAGGCCTGTGCTAATCTAGAACCCAGAGATAAAAGACGATGTAACGGTTCCTGCTCTCGTGGACCTCTTTCTAATCAAACTGGGGTAGGGACCCGTGGGGAACATGAAGAAATGAAGTAATATTCCAGAAAGGAAATCTTAAAACTTGTTTTTAATCAACAAAAGATGAGGGACGGCATTTTTGGTGTTCATAATGCTTTGTAAAATTAATATAATAATATTTAAATTTTGACAATGGCCCCATCAAGAGTTTTCTAGGTTTTATAATTACTTTTTTGAAACTTATGTCTAATTCTGTTAGGTCTTTGTTAAATTGGGTATCCTGGCCCTGCCCTGAGTATAAACTCTAGGGTTTGTTTTTTGTCTGTTTTTTCCACCTATGGCACATATACTATTAATATTACGACTATTATTCAAGGCTGACCACTAGGAAAGAGAAGACAAAGCAGGTAGCAGTAAAAAATGCTAAAACTATACACCATAAAAAAAAAAGAAAGCTTTTTACTAAAAGCAACTGTTACTTATCTTTTTTCAAATGTGTAAACACCAAAAACATAGTTCAAAGAGTGTTCTATTTAATAATATACCATTTTAACACTCTAAAATTTAGATTTTTCTTTAATTGCATATTTTGTGGCTGACCTTGCCTAATAGCCGACACTAAAAGTAGCCCCTCAAGCCCTTGGAAACAGTAAATCATTGGCAAGTGACATTCTGGCTGTAAACCAGTCCCTCATGGAACCTGACTCAAAGAAAGGCCCAAAAGCATCCTGTGTCCCACTCTTGGGCCTTCATCTAAAGAGCTGTTGAGTCCACAACAGCCCTTGAGAGCTCCAACAAAAGTTTTAATCTAGTCCAGCAAACACTGATGGCTTGGGGTGACTCCATAAGGACCGCCACTTTTACACCCCTTTGACAAAGTAACATATGGCAATGCATATGAGAAGCAAGAACCATTCACTAAATTCTCCCTGGTGCTATACCTTATGTCGTTTTCTTTTAGAAAATCTAATATTCTCCTAACCCATGTAACCAATTAGGGTGAGCCAATAAGTAATGTTAGGTTACAGCCACCAAATGCATCCCCAGGCCTCTACTTCCGCCCCAAAGCCTCCCTGATAGCAAATGAGGTGCATCTGTCCATCAAAGCAATTATATAACAGAATCTTAAAATCTAACACCCTATAATTCTCTATCAACGGACTTAAATTAGCAAGACAAGTTACTGATCCATTATTTAAAAAGGGAGGCGAAAGTGAGGTTTAAATGCAGTACAAAGGAATTCGGCAAAACAAAACTCAATCGCCCATTTGTAAAAGTCACCAGAAGAATTTAATAACTAATTAAGTGCTTATGGAGGTATTAAAGCAAACCAGGTACATCTCAAAACTGGCTGGTACTCAAAAGTCTCTAGGAAACAGCCCTGCGCATCCACACACAGAAAGGAACAGCCGACAGCAAAGCCAAAGGGCGGCTTTTACGTGTGACGCGCCTACTTTCCTGCCCAGCCCAGCCTCCCAGGCGCCCGCGGTCTTGCCGACGCGTGAGTCCTTTGCCCTACATACAAAGTTAACTGTTGAGTGGCTTTCTCCTTCCAGACGCCAAGACAAAGCAGCCCCCCAAGGCTAGCGCTAGGGAAGCAGGTGCTTATTAACAGGGCCTCACCAGACTGCTAAATCTCAAAGGAAACCCTAAGCGTTCAGCCCTCAGCAGCAGGCAGTCTAGCAGAAGGGGCTCTGCAGGAAAACGGGACGGCGGGGAGGGGAGGGGTTCTCTGCACAAGCTGCAGTCTACACTCGGGAAGAATGCTCCTGCTCGTGGGCAAATGAGTTCGCTAAATCTCAGAGCTGTAAAGGGGAGTCCCGCTCGTTTTACAGAGGAGGAGACTGAAGGCGCTTGGACGGCAGCCACAACCGGACAACTCCAGCTCCATACCTACCGCCGAGATCAGCGGCGGCGGCTTTGGCCACTTCCAGATTTCTGGCGATGATGGCCAGTCGGTAGCCTTTCTGGGCCATTAACTGGGCCACTGCCCTGCCAATGCCCCGGGAGCCTCCAAAAACAGCACAGACTTTGTCCATCTTGGACCGGGGAGTCGCAAACTTGGAGAAAAGAAAACGAGTTGTGGCGGCCCCTTTCCAGATTCCGACTTTTATACCACCGCAACTTAAAAAGAAAAAAGAAAAAACCGCAACCGACGCGAAATTGAAGAACCACGCCACCCCTACTCCTGCCGCTGGACACGGGCCATCCTAGAGACTGGGAACACGAGCTAAGAATAAGGTATCAGCGCGTCGACGTCAGCGCGTAAGCGCTTCCAGGCGTCGCGCCTAAAGACGCCTGCGAGAATGAGCCAGACCGGCCAAGAAAGAGACACGCAGGAAGGGGCCGCACTGCATGCTGGGATTTGTAGTCTTGATGCTGCAGGGGCCAAGGCATTGACGCGCGGCGCAGTGCGAAATGTACTCCAACGTGCTTGGGAGGTGGGGGCTCACAACTAGAGCTCCGATGACCAGCCTGTCCAGTTTCCCTGGAAGTATTGCGGTTGTTAAGCCGCTGGACTTTGTTTTAAAATCAAGACAGTCCTCATCAAACCGAGACAAGTTGATCACCATAGTTAGAAACCAGAATATATGCAGTTAAGGGCGGATTTTCTATTGCAGTGGGGGTTGTCGGTGGCCCCAAACCCAGTGTTGTTCACGGGTTAACGGTGCATTACTCAGAGTTACAGTGTCTGCCTTTGACCCAGTGTTTGGCTGGGGATTAATGTCCTACTTGATGAAGTGGTCCCAAATCATCAGACTCACACCAAAACTTATCCTACCTATCTCTTCCCCACGTTGCTCAGAAATGGGCCTCACCCCAGCTGGATGTTACCATTTCATTTCAAAGGGCATAGCAAAGGCAGGTGCCCTGTCAAGAACATCATGTAATAGGAGCTCAAGAAATGTTAACTGAATAATTGAATACCCCTACAGGATCCATAAAACAAGCATCAGCTGCTGCAAACAAAAATAGGTTCCTGCAATTCTAAAGACATGTGCTGAGTGCTCTGAGAGTTAATAAGCTAAAAAGTGAACATTTGTTTCAATTATACTGTAAAAAGGAAGCTTTTTAATAAAATATTTCATTAGAGATGATTCAAGAAAGTGTAAAACATAGTACCCACTACTAAACACACACACACACACACACACCCCTCCCCCCCCCCCCCCCCCCCCCCCGCCGGATGACAGGACTAAATACACACGGAACACTAGTGAGTAGTCCAAATCATAAAGTGCAAAATTATACTAATGCAAAAAATCAGAGAAAAGGGAAAAGAAAGAGAAATGCATGGAAAGTTGCATTTGAAGACTGGATGCAAAATACAAGGATAGGAAGACAAAAAAAAAAACTAAGTAAATTGAGCACTCTTTTTTAAATATTATTTTTATCTCACCTAGATCCAAAAGGGATTTGAAAGGACTTGCAAAAATACATGAGTAAAACCTCATGCCCATTAGGATTGCTATTATTAAAAAGAAAAGTGTTGGTGCGGATATTGAGAAATTAGAACTCCTGCGCACTGTTTTGGGGACTGTAAACCATCACTTTGGAAAACAGTATGATGGTTCCTCAAAAAAAAAATAGAGCTACCATATAATCCAGCAATTCCATTTCTGGGTGTATGCTCAAAAAAGCAAGGTTTCAAAGTGATATTTGTATACTAATGTTCATAGCAGCATTATTCACAATAGCTAAACTGTGAAAGCAACCCAAGTAACCATCAAGGGATGATGGATAAATAAAATGTGACACACGCACACAGGGATATTATTCAGCCTGAAAAGTCAAGAAATTCTGCAATACGCCACCACATGGTGACCCTTGAGGACACTATGCTAAATGAAGTAAGCCAATCACAAGAAAGATGAATACTGTATGATTCTACTTACAAGAGGTACTTAGAGTAATCAAAATCATAGAGAAAAGAAGGCCTGGGGGAAGAGGAATGGACAGTTATTGTTTAATGAGTATGATGTTTCATTTTTGCAAAGTGAAAAGTGTTCCAGAAAAGGACGGTGGTGATAATTGCACAACAGTGTGGATGCACTTGCTACTACTGAGCTGTACACTTAAAATGGTTAAAATAGTAAATTTTATGTGTCCTTAACCACAATTTCAAAAATTACAAGAGGGGATACCCTAGCAATACAAATACTATTATTGACAACAAGAATACTGAATGCATTTTAGGGACTTTTTAAAAAATATTTTTATTGATTATGCTATTACAGTTGTCCTATTTTTTCTCTCCCCTTATTCCCCTCAGGCCTGTACTGCCCCCCACCAAACCCCTGCCCCCCAACCTTAGTTCATGTCCATGGGTCATATACATAAGTTCTTTGGCTTCTCCATTTCCTACACTATTCATAACCTCCCCCTGTCTATTTTGTACCTACCATTTATGCTTCTTATTCCCTATACATTTTCCCCCATTATCCCGCTCCCCCACCCCTCCCTGCTGATAACCCTCCATGTGATTTCCATTTCTGTGATTCTGTTCCTGTTCTAGTTGTTTGCTTAGTTTGTTTTTTGTTGGTTGTTTTTTTTAGGTTCAGTTGTTGATAGCTGTGAGTTTTTTGTCATTTTACTGTTCATAGTTTTGATCTTCTTTTTCTTAGATAAGTCCCTTTAACATCTCATATAATAAGAGCTTGGTGATGATGAACTCCTTTAACTTGACCTTATATGGGCAGCATTTTATCTGCTCTTCCATTCTAAACAATAGCTTTGCTGGATCGAGTAATCTTGGATGTAGGTCCCTGCCTTTCATAACCTTGAATTCTTCTTGCCAGCCCCTTCCCGCCTGCAAGGTTTCTTTTGAGAAATCAGCTGATAGTCTTATGGGAACTTCTTTGTAGGTAACTGTCTCTTTTTCTCTTGCTGCTTTTAAGATTCTCTCCTTCTCTTTAATCTTGGGCAATGTAGTTATGTTGTGCCTTGGTATGTGTTTTCTTGGGTCCAACTTCTTTGGGATTCTCTGAGGTCCCTGGATCTCCTGGAAGTCTATTTCCTTGGCCAGATTGGGGAAGTTCTCCTTCGTTATTTTTTCAAGTAAGTGTTCGATTTCTTGCTCTTCCTCTTCTCCTTCTGGCACCCCTATGATTCAGATATTGGAACGTTGAAAGTTGTCCTGGAGGTTCTTAAGCCTCTCCTCATTTTTTGAATTCTTGTTTCTTCATTCTCTTCTGGTTGAATGTTCATGTCTTCCTTCTGCTTCCAATCATTGATTTCAGTCCCAGCTTCCTTCGCTTCACTGATGGTGCCCTGTATATTTTTCTTTATTTCCCTTCGCATGGCCTTCACCTTTTCCTCTCTTTTATGACCATACTCAACCAATTCTGTGAGCATCCTAATTACCAGTGTTTTGAACTCTGCATCTAATAGGTTGGCTATCTGTTCATCGCTTAGTTCTATTTTTGCAGCTTTGATCTGTTCTTTCTTGTGGGCCATATTTCTTTGTCTCATTGCACCTGTTACTTTGGAAGGCACCTGTTACCAGAGCCTTAGGTATTCGCCAGGGCAGGGCGACCCAGGTTGCTTTGTTGTGATGTGTGGGAGGGGTCCGAGTGGGAACAATGCTGCTTGCTCAGCTCTCGGCCAGCTTTCAGTTATTTCCCCCACCACCCACAAGCAAATTGGGCCCTCTGGTGCTAACTCCCAGGTGGGTGGGTGTGTGTACATTCTAGGACCTTGTGGGTCTCTCCAATGGACTCTCCTGTGAGGCTGGGAGTTTCTCCTACTGCCACAACCCCTACAAGTTTTTACAGCCAGAGGTTTTGAGGCTTTCTTTTCCCACACTGGAACCTCGGGTTGCACAGTGTTGTTCCTCCCGGTTTATCCACACGCAAATGTGGGACTGCCAACCGCTGTCTCAGCTGCCCAGTCCTCCGGCCGCCGCCTTGCCTCGTGTCCTCTCCACCCTGGCTCCCCATCTCCACCCTCCCTACCAATCTGGATGAACGTTTCTTCTTTAACTCCTTGGTTGTCGGGCTTTCATACAGTTTGATTTTTGGCAGTTCTGGTTGTTTTTTGTTTTTAAATTTTTGTTGTCCCTCTTTAGGTTGTGCGCGGAGCAATGTGTATGTACCAATGCCTCCAGTTTGGCCGGAAGTCCATCTGCTCTGAATGCAGTTTAAGGTTTCTTAATGAGATTGGGTTTTATCCTTAAAGTAGCTACAGTAATACTGTCATTTAAATATTGTGATTTAAAAGCACTTTAAATATTTATTCTCTAAGGAGTTATACCCTAAACTTGATACCAGCTTGCTTCCAATTTTTGAAAATTGCCTTTTACTTGCTTTTGTCTTTTAATTATATAAAACACTTAACATACATGGCTCTTAAGTGTAAACCACAAAACAGGTACATTCAGAAAGTACAGCTAACATCCTGGCCCTTGTTTCCAGTTTTTTCCCCATCCCTATAAATTTCCAATTTTGTAGATCTCTTATTACCCTCCTATTCTTTTCTTTTGAAAATATTAGAAAATGCATAGGCATTATATATATATATGTTTCTTAATACAAAAGTTGTACACTGTAAATATTGTTCTACACCTTGCCTTTTGTAGGATTATATACCTTGGAGATTGTTCCATTCACAGCTGCATAGTCCTACATTATGGGCATTGTGATTGGCAGGATTCTAAAGGTGACCCTCCCCAAGGTTTTCCCCTCCCACCTCAGCTATGCGATCCAACACTTATCTAGGAACATCTGTGAAAGGAAGTTAAGGACATAATCAAATCCTAACTCAATTAACTTGAAAATATGTAGATTATATGAATAAGTCTAATCTAATCAGGTGAAACCCTGAAAGCAGAGCATTTTCCCTGGCTGGTGGCAGAAGAAAGAAGCCAAAGACACTCAAGGGATGAGAGGGACTCAGCAGGTGAAGTATTCTTGTCAGCCTCCAGAGAAGAGCAAACCACCAAGCTATAAACTACTAACTGAGAGGAGCAGCCTGGAGTGGCAGAGAGCAAGCCTAGCCTAACACCAGCAAGAAAATAAGGACCTCAGTCTTACGGGGGCAAGGAAGTGAATTCTGCCTATAATCAGTGAGCTGGGAAGAAGACCCTGAGCCTCAGACGACAATTGCAGCATCGGCCAACACCTTGACTTTGAATCTGTAAGAGATAAGCAGAGGGTTCCGTTCCACAGTGCCTAGACTCCTGACCCATGGAAAGTATGAGATGAACTAACGTATGTTCTCCTCAAAAAATACATGAGTAAATAAATGACTTTAAAAGGTAGGGCACCAC